CAACTTCTTAAGTTACTGTAAATGTTTATACTTGATTGGAGGAAGGGGGAAGTCACCTTTTATATGTCTTTCTCTATTTTTCTCTCTCTCTCTTTCTCTTTCTCTTTTTTGTTTGTATATCTTTTTTAGTTCTTTACTAACTAGCTTTTATCTATATAACATTTAATACAAATATTATATAGAGATAACTGATCTACCCTGATTGTGGAACTTTTCACAGAAGCAGAGATCACAGATTATCAGTGGGTTTGCTGGAGAGTAGAAGCCAATGTAAGCCAAATGGTACTTAAAATCTATCCTCAGAGTTCCAGCCATCGCAGCATCCCCATGGTCATGTGATCACGATTTCCAGTGCTCCCTGCCAGCTTCCCACAGCAAAGTCAATGGGGAAACCAGCAGGAAGTCAGAAGTCACAATCATGTGAGATCCTCACTTAATGGCCCACATGGTCCTCACTTAACGACAGCAACCAAGACTGCTAGAATTGCCGTTGCTAAGCAACGCAATCATGTGATGTCACGCTTTGACTGTATCACTTAGCAATGGAAATTCCAGTCCCAATTGCCGTCATAACTGGAGGACTATCTGTATTTTGTATTCTGTATTTTGATTCTCCTGAGCAATTTACTTACCACTATATTGAAATGGGACTCACTTTCACAGAGCCTTTCATTTCATTTTTGTTCATTCCCTCCAGAAGCTGTCATCTAAAGTTCAGGAAGTACTCAAAATAGCATGCTAACCCTCTACCTGCCTTTCTATAATAAAAAAATTATTCTGCTTACATGGGCTTTGGGTTTAAATTGTCTGCCTTTTGTAGATTGTTTTCCAGGTTTTTTTCTTTCACTTCATTTTCCCCCCTCTATTTTGCCCTTTCATCTTTTACAGCATATTTTGAGATTATTTCTTTGATAAGATGGATGAGCATTACTTTTCTGTCATCTACTGATTGAAAGGTTTCTAAAAGATCTTGTAAACTGCTACCTTCTAATGAAGCTTCCAATCCCTGCCTATCAAGTCTCTTTATTATTCTTACATCCAAATCCACTTGATGTAACCACTTGCAGCTAAGGTGATCTGCCTTCTCAGTAGCAACCTGTGCCCTGTGAAACACCTTCCCCCCTGAGATCTGGCAGGTCCCCATCCATCTAGCTTTCCAGAAGGCCTTAGAAAGCTGGCTTTTCCCCCAGGCATTGGCATAGGGTGAGACTGGAATCTAGGGATTGTGATTTTTATGTATTGGAGAGTGTTGTTTTAGGGCACCAGGAGTTGTTGGTGTTTTGTTTTGTTTTGTTTTTGGAGGTTGGTTTTTATTGTTTTTATGTTATTATCACTGCTGCTGTGGTAATCTTATGAGCCCTTTGTTTCATAAGTATAACACAATTCCTGAACTGGTGCTGCCTTTTTTCTAGAAATGATTTATGTTTTTCAGCTAAATAAGAATGTTGTTCTCCCCACCTTCTTTCCCATTCCTTCTACTTCTTTGGAATGCTCAGACCCTGGTATTCATAGGGCCCTGTCTTTTTGTACAGGTTGCATTACTTCTTTACATCTTTCTTAAAGGCTGATTCCCCAGTCTCTCAACATTTTTAGTTCCTTTTTGGGGAAGTTCATTAAGACAGTGGTGGTCAAGAATATACATAGCACCTTAGATGAAGCAGATTATCTGAATCATTTTCAGTCTGGGTTCAGGCCTAAGTATGGGACAGAAATGGCATTGATCCCTCTCTTGTCAGTGCACCCCTACTGGTTCTGTTGGCTTCCTGGCAATTTTTGATACCACTGTCCATGGTATCTTACTGGATCACCCATTAGGGCTGGGAATTGGAGACATTCTTCTTCAATAGTTTTATTCCTTCCTCATTGAGTAGTTTCAGCCTGTTTCAGTGAAGGAGGAGAGGTGGCCCTGTGACCCCTAGTATGTATGGTGCTGCAGGAGTTGGTTCTCACCCCTATACTATTTAACATCTATATGAAGCTGTTGTATGAGGTCTTTTGACAGTTTGGGGTACAATATCAGAATGCTGATGATGCTGAATTGTACATTGCTACCCTAAGCTGTAAAGGAGATGCTGTTGATATTCTGGAGGCTATAAGGGTCTAGATGGAGAGAACTGTTGATTCATTATGCATCAAGGTTTCATTCATTCTCCATTCATTAAGAAGAAATATAGAGGATACAGATGGGGAATGAATGAAACCTTGATGCATAATGAGTCAAAATCCCTGGGTTATGATCAGAAAAAGTTCTTGGTACTATCTCAGCTTTGTCAGTCCATTTAAGTAGTTTCTTGGAGATCCACAACATATCAGTTCTCAAAAATGAGTTATGTCTCTCAGAATAGTGTGTATATTCTTTTGTATTTATATGTCACCAAACGTCTATAAATTCAAAATTCTCAACCATTTCAAAACAAAATCTTAGGAAGTTTGCCTTGTGTTGTTTTAATTTCTTTTACCAAGATTTGTAGCTTTAAAACGTTCCTGGAGGAACATGTATGTAACCACAGAGCCATATTGGTGTAGTGGTTAAGGTGCTGGCCTAGAAACCAGGAAATTGTGCATTCAAGGCCTCCCTTAAGCATGAAAGCCAGCTGGGTGACTTTGGGTCAGGCACTCTCTCTCAGCCCAACCCAACACATAGGGTTGTTGTTGTGGGGAAAATAGGAGGCAGGAGTATTAGATATGTTTACTACTTTGAGTTGACTAAATTAAGAAAAAAAGGGCAGGATAAAAATCTAGTAATAATAATAACAATAAAAAAATATGTGATTGCAGGAATGACTGCTCAAAACAACCTGCCTCACTTGCCTTTCCCATTAATTTTTTAGTATTATGCTCAAATAATCCACATAAAAACATAAAATAATTTAAAAACATAGTAATCAAGGAATACAATGTTTGATGACACATTTTAAGAGCAATAACACAGAACCTAGCCAGAATACTTGCAATGCTGATTTTGGAAACTGAAAGTTGGAGCTTGGTGTTAATAATATTCTGTTTGTTCTGGGTGCTGTAACAAAATGACAGAATTCTATTTGACTCTTTGGAAATGACAGTACAGCAATACATGGGCATTTGTTTCTGTCTCTGAACCACGAAGGCAAACTTGTTCAGAATAATGATAGTGATACATCAGAAATTTCAGATGTTTCTTAGTTTTCCCTTAGCTTTGTGTAGAATTATTTTTAATCCAGAATGAAAATTTGTGAAGAAAAAATAGTACATTTAGAAGAAACAAATATATAAACAGAAGTTTAATTTTTTTCCTGTTTAACAAAAAAATATGATAACATAACAAAAAACATCTTCAATTTTTAAATGAGTTATAATATAGCCAGACTTCTCTGAATTTTAGAGAGACTATATTCAGCTAAATGGTCCTTTGAACAAAATCCAGTTCAAAGCACTATATAAGAAATTTAAGATAGCTTCACACTTCAATATGCTTAATTTATATTAATGCTATATAGTATAATCTATAATAGAATTTAGCAAAGGTCTTGGTGATGACACACTTTCTGCTATTCTAAAATAAACTATTGTTTATTTATGTTTAAGATATTGGGGAGTTAAATAAAAATAGGTAATCAGTTACGTTAAACATTTTCACCTTAATAACAACATGGTATAATAGCTGAAGAATACAATTTTATGGGTGGGAACCTGTCAGTGTCTTTGTTTATCATGGAAAAATGCAGAATTTGATTTCTACCCTAAGAACTTAAGATCAAAAATCTTGGAAATATTCCTCATGTTTTTTCTTCCTTTTGAATATTTCTTGAAAATTTGTGCTAGGGCAGGAAACAATTAATTTTTAATTATCCCTCAACTTCTTTGAGCATAAGGTTTTAAAGTACTGCATATACAGAAATGCTATAGATCAAATACACAATAATATGTTTTATTAGTGTTAACAATAACTATGCCTTGTCATTTTCAATGTTTTAATCCAGTTCTTGTATATACAGGTAATCCTCACTTAAAATTGGTCGTTAAGCAGGACAGTTGTTCGAGTCACCATGTGACCGGACCCGATTTTACAACCATTTTTACGACAGCAGTTAAGTAAATCACCATGGTTGTTAAGTGAATCGTGTGGTTGTTAAACAAATCCAGCTTCTCCAATGGACTTTTTGCCAGAATTCGCTTAACCATATGATTCGCTTAACAACCATGGTGATTTGTTTAACAACCACAACGATTTGCTTAACAACCGTCGTAAAAGATATTGCAAATCACAATCACATGAGCGCAGGGAGTGGTGCAACGGTTTGCGATGGTCATAAGCATGAGTACAGGTTGTAAAGAACTTTTTCTGAGGCCATCATAACTTTGAACCATCATTAAACGAACTGTTGTTAAGTGAGGACTACCTGTAATTCATTTCTAAAACCATCTGGCTGACTGCAATGATTGGTATATTTTCACAGAACCTTAGTTAATACCATCAACTAAGTGAATTCTCTTTCTACATTGTACTTCTTGACAGTTGTGAAATACTGTTTCAATAAACCAGTTCTAATTTACCTATTACAAAGAATGTATCTTCTAATGGTTTGCTGTATTTGCTTTGCCAGGAGCTGATTGATTACCTTCGTGTCTACTCACACAGTACAGTGTATGCCACATCATTTTCCCCTCCAGTTCTTCAACAAATCATTGCATCAATGAAGTGCATTATGGGTGAAGATGGCACAACATTTGGTGAGACTCAGTCATTGCAGTAGTTTTTCTTATCTGTACATAAGGAAATAGATTTCCTAGCCTTGGCACAAATAAGGGAACAACCTCTTCCAGAAGCATTAAGAAAAGAATAGGTCTGGATAAAGCATTTGAAAGAGGCATTTCACAAAGGATAGTAGTATAAACTGCTTAAAAGGCTGCTCTCTGTTGTCTTTGCATCCATGACCGTACACAGCAACTTCATTTTGCTGGCTGTTCAGTAGCAATATTGTCTGTGCATGTATACCCATGAGCAATGAAAAGGCAGCCTTTAAAGCAGTTGCATGAGTCTTGCAAAGGAAGCAGCTACTTTGATACTTCTAAGAGTGGTGCTTCATTTGCATTAATATGCTTTGCAAAGCACCTTTCAAATGCTTTGTGCAGCCCTAGAAATACTATAGAAATTATATAGTATACACTATGCAGATTTTTCAAAACTCATACAAAGTATCTTTTTTCAAATTGCTAAAGCAGCATGTCTTTTTCAAGACTTACGTGGCTGTATCAGAAGCTACTCCCAATTGTCTTCACATGCTCTGTGAACAGGATGCACATCTGTGTGAAGACACAACTGGGAACAGCTTCTGAAGCAGCCGTATGAACTCTGAAAAAGATATAGCTGTTTTAAAAGAAGCATTTAATATACCGTATTTTTCCATCAATAAGAGGCTCCCATGTACAAGACAACCCCCACTTTTCCAACCCAAAATTAAGAAATCAATATTTTAAA